ATGTCTAACATTTTCTGTGAAATATCCAAGCCATCGATGTTTGTGTAGCCTTGTTTAACCAGCATCTCGCCTATAATGCCAGTACCAGCTCCAGCATCAAGGATTTTGATGTTCTTATTTGCATGAGGGAACACATCTTTCGACTGCATAGCTTTGTTAAAAGCCTCTACACATAAGACATGACCTTTGTAACCATGTTTTTCGGTATCCTACGAAAACAAACATGATGCAACATCACTTGGCAAAAGACCATTTTAAGCCTGCGTTACAGGTATGGTAAAATAGAGAAGGGGTAGGGAGGCAAAAACGCCCCCTTCTATCCCCAGTCTCGCTCTCCTTCCCCTTCTTCCTCATTTTACGCCAGCACAACAGGCTAGTCCATTTTACAAGCTTGCTTAAGGGAAGAGACAAAACATGCCATGTATTGTTTTGAGGGAATCTTGGCTAGAAAACAGTTTTGTTCCAAATCACAAGCTGGTGTTTGTGTTAAATTGTTTCAGCGATTTAAAGTCAATAGTTCTTTGCCTGTTTTAAATGTTTTAAATACTGGACGTTTCCTTTCAGCTATTTTAGTAGTTCAAATTTCTGGTGCGCTGCCATGTTTATTTTTGCAAAGCTTGATGGGAAATTATGATGTCAGTACACAGCATTTTAATTGTTTATAATTCAGACCCAGATGAATATATTCAGCTCTAATGAGAAATATTCTTCTGTAAACTCCATATCAAGATCTCTTACCGCGCAATGACGTCATAAATTACCATAATGTAAACATGGTGACGCCCTGGCGATTTACGCTAAAAACCAAACACTAATCGTATTCGAACCACTCACAGAGATAATTATCAACTTAAAACCCAGGATCAGTTAAAGAAAACCATCAAGTATACTTTGGAACTTGAACTGCTTTTCAGCCAAAACTCCCTTTAACAAGAAAAAAAAAATAATCAAAAAGTGTTGCTTTGCAAACTGCAATGAAACAAATCACGTTTGGTCTTCTAACCATGAGACTGAGTAATGACCTGGTGAAGACCGGTAAACATGTCTGATCTTTGATCTTGGACTGATAAATATGGTATCAACCATATTTAAAGTTGACAATCATGTAACCATATCTTGCTTGAGACATCTTCAGATAGGTTTGGTCGTTTAGAACAGACACATGTAAAATTATATACCTTGTCAAGACCTAAAACCATACATTAACCCCCAGGGTTAATCCCTCCTATTTTGGCAGAAAACGGATATATGTCTGCTATATCACAACTTAAAGAAAAGAAATGCAGTGCAATGCAATAGAATAGAATAGAACACATTAGACTAGAATGCAATCCAATCAATACATTATACTTAAAAAATAAAGAAGCCTGTGACTGACTGTGCTGTTCTGTTGTACTGAGGCACATAGGAAGTGGTAGAACACAAAAAAAGTGTAGGGGGAAACATGAGACGTAGTTGAGTGTTTCTCTGCTCTACTGCTTCCTAAGTGCTTTACAACAGAACAGAGCATAGTTGAAGTTTCTTTGTTTGTTTTATGATAAAGAATCCATTGATTTCCCCATGCATTTGGCTGAATTTTGAAACAAAACTTTATTTTCCAAATGAGGAAAAGTGGTGTCAGCATGCAGATGTTCTCTGAATTAATGCATGCTAAAATAAGCCAATCACAATCCTTGTTAGAATTGTTCAAATAATTTGATACTTATCAAGACAACAGCTGCCAATCACAATGTGGACTTCAGCTAAACTTTTGGTTTCGAGTGGCTTTCGAGAGAAGAATGGTCGCTTCAAAGTTTGCTTTTTAGTTTGATTTTTTGAACAAGGATCTCCAGGTTTCTTAAGTCCAGAGGTATCCGGCTGCATTGTGGCTCATGAAAATATGCACTTTTTTGTTGGAAATTACAAAACAAGAGGCTCACAGTTTGCGGATAAAAAGGTGAAATACTGAGTTGTATTTGAATGAGCTACAGTTATTTGTGGCTTAATTGCAGCCACTGTCCAAACTAGGCTGCATCAAAGTTGGAAAGACTAAACTGCCCCCACTGGTTATACTCCAAGTGCAGGAGAGAATATCAGAGCAAGCTTTTAACTGATCATTCGTCAGGTGAGTGTTGATACCAAATTGTTGAGGTTCACTTTGCTGAGATGACCGGAGATTGCAAGTTAGCCAACAAGGTTAGTGTTACTACACTCCATGTAAATGCTGTTTGAGCATTTTTACAAAAATAATGCTCCTCGTCATAAACAGAAACAGCTCAATTGGTGTTTTGTGTCATTGTTTAAAATGTATAGTATAAGTTTTGCCTTCATGACAAATATAATGTTTTTTATCGAGGCATTCATTAGGTTGAAAATTTGTTTATTTCACTATGTGATAACTGTTTTGTTGGAATGTAGCAAAACGTATTATACAACGGCCTTCATGCAGCCATGTTTACTGCAGAGAAATAGCTCTTTTCCATTGTGTTTGTCCGAGTCAGGGGATGCTTAATTTGGGTCTAATTTGTTAAAATTCTGAAGCAAAAATTTGAAAGTCAGTTCACCATGCATCTGTTCTGTAATAAAGCATGCTGCTTAATTCAGCCAATCAGAGCATGCGTTATATGGAAACTTTATTATAAAATACACAATTCAACACAATACAATACAATACATTCTAGTTATGCCACACTTTCAAGTGGTAATTTACCATGGAAACTATCCCAAGAGTCACTTGTATTTTCTTGGTATACACAATTGCCATATAAAATACAGTGGCTAATACAGTCAAAGTGACATATGTACGTTGCATGATGGGAAGGTTGGATGTAAACCGTTGAACATAACGGCTTTCCTGTATTCTGATTTCCTCTATTTTCTACGGCATGGTATACAATACAATACAATACAATACAATACAGTACAAAGCAGATTAGTCAGCTTACCACTTCATAAGATGAAGCCCAAGAATCATAGGTATTTTTTGCATCCTCCTCACTAGAGGACGGAGTGAGCTCTGCAATTCCTTTTAATTTCTCCATTGCAGCAGTCATGAGTAAAGCTTATCTATGATGTAATGTGAAAAAATTCAATTCCTGAGTGTTAACAAAATGAATATATACATATGAAAAGAATAACATTGATTTGCCATACAATTAGAGAAACTTGGGGGGCTAAAAACTGGTAAGTTTGTGGGGGGTCTACGTTTGAGCCCTGCATGGGCAGAGAAATTGGACAATAATAATAATAATAATAATAATAATAATAATATTGCACAAATTTCATAAAATGTTCAAATGCGCATGACAAGATTAACAACAGAACAAAAAGGCTAAAAAGCTAAAATTACAATTAAAAGTAAACTTACAATGATTTTAAAAAGCTTAAATTACAATTAAAAGTAAACTTACAATAATAAAAGCAACTATGATGAAAATGCAATATTGTTGTGTTCTTGGGCAGGACACTTGCAAAAAGGCTTTTTTAAAAAGAAACGTATCGAGTCTATTTTTAAAGACGGAATGGACGAACTATTTCTTATTTCAAATGGTAGAGCATTCCAAAGTGTAGGTGCTGCCACAGAGACAAATATGTCCCAAAAATGATTGAATTTTAGCATAGAGTTTCTGAGCCTCTACAGCCTCCATGTAGCACTGCATTCTCTACTCTGTAACCAAAAACATAGGCACGCAAGAGTTATTTTTTTGTGAAGTCTCGGAGATAGGGGCATTCATGGAGCTGTTTACAGTAATGATTTGGTTAATTCAACAAGTTATTTTGGTTGCGGTGTACAGCAAGAAAGAAACTGGGAATTTATGATGTACATACGATGTTACAGCGATAATGGAAGATAGCTAAATAGTAAGCCATAAGATGTTTGACTGAACAAACTACAGTCATCCGACACATCTCCAGATTAATGTAGATACCATCTTATTTTTTTCTTTGATTCTTCTTTGATAAAACCCACACTGTGATTGGTGTGACACGTGCACATGCATAACTCCCTCACTCACCGCTCACATAGCCCTTCCAACCCCCAAGAGGAGTTTTTGCTAAAAAATACTCAAGTTAAGAGACCTTTTCACATTTTATATGAGTCGTAAGTTTACCCTTTTTACACAACACAACACAACACAACACAACACAACACAACACAACACAACACAACACAACACAACACAAC